CCCGCACGGCTCCGCGAGTGCTGCAGTGCTGCTGCAGTGCAGTGGCGCCGCCGCCTTCCCATTGCCAGGCGGAGCACGTCCGCTGCGGAGACCTGGCACCGCGCGGCCCCGCTCGCCACAGGGCTGTGCCAGGCAGCTCAGGCTCCAGGACGAGCGGCCGCGCTTGCCATGAGGTCAAGGGCTCCATTCTGCACGCCTAACGCTGCTCTCTTTAGCTGGGAGGACAGCACCTGCATTTCGTTAGAGCTGAGAGTAGCAACGCGCTGGGGATCGTATCTGAGCCTCCAACCTCATATGGGCCAAAGCAGCGCCTTTTTAAAAGAAGAAATTTGGCTCGAGCTGGCGTTACAGAACAACAAGCCCAGGGCTGCAAGATACCGGGGATTTGCTGCTACCCATTTACCTATCAAAGGAGAATAAATTATTCAGTACAGCCAGAAACAGCAGGAGACAATGATTCCAGCGAGATGCAGAAGTTACTGAGCAGATTACTGTTCTTCCCTGTTTTTCCCTACCTGAAACCACTGTGGAACAGAACTGGAGGGCCCATTTGTCTGTGTCCACTTTCCAGGCTCTGTGATCTCCAGTGAGCGAAGCCTCCACCTCTCCTGACACCAAGCACTCCCCAGCGCCTGTCAGAGGGACGTCTGTCCCCACCAGTGTCCCCAGGTGGGAACACTACAGCACAGGAAGAGAAGCAGGGAGCTTCTCACAGGAATCAGAGCTGGAAACAGCATCTGGTGCTCCCACTGCTCCTGCCCAGACACCGGGACAGCGCTCCTGGGAAGCATCTAGGGCAGCGCTACCCGGTTTTAGGTAGCAGAGGGTATTTGTTTGACTTAACGGGAGTCTGAAGGACAGATGTTATAAACTCATCACAGTCTTAAACCTGTAACCTTCAGCGTCTTACCAAGACCATGGTGTTCCCCACAGCTGGTTTAAGTCACTGCTCAGTCCACGGGCAGGCCAGAAATGTGCTGGTATTGGTGAAATGGGACTGGAAACACACCCTGGAGCGCCAGCGTGGAGCGAGGGGAGCCCTTTCCAGGCCTGGCAGAGCCCACCGGTGCTCCCCAGAGTGCGTGGGGATCTCCATGCCCGCTGTGTGGGTGATTAACCGTGCTGCCTGAGCAGCCAGAACACAGCCACAACTGACAGCAACTGCAGGTTTATTTATGTGGAGTGTTTCTGTAACAAATTCTGTGGTACTGAGTACACCACGGTGCCCCCCTCAAAAGTGAGGGCTCACAGGAAGTGTCTGCACCGCACTGCTCTACAAAGAGCAGAAAAGAGGAAAAAAAGGCAGAGGAGGGAAAGTGAGAAGAGAAACGGGCAGACAGCCCCTGGCTGTGCTGCAGGAGTCGGTACGTCCTGAACACCACAAAACCGGGACACCCAGCAGAGAGGAGCCGAAGGGAAGAACACCGTCCCACGGTTCCCCCTGGGCTCAGCAACGGGACCAGCGTCTCCTCCTCCTCCTCCTCGGGTGACGGCGCTCAGACCACGCTCAGCACAGCTCACGCTGCTCCTCAGCGCACAGGGACCTTGCGGGGCTGCAGTGGGAGCAGCCGGCACCGCATGCGGACGCTCCCCGGCCGAAATCCCCCATTCCCTCCCTCCCTTGCCTGGAGCAGGGCCAGGGAACCTGCGCGACTTCAGGATCCCAAAGCCAACCACACACAGACACGGATTGCTACAGGCTCTCCTCCTGGTGCACTCCTGCAGCATCTCAGGATCACTTCAAAATCAACTGACCACAGGCAGGTGAACGTCCAAGACGTTTTGCCAGGCTGCGCCAATCCCACCTTAAAATTAAGTTACAAAGAATAAAGATGATTTGCAACTTAGAGGCAACTTAGATTTTGCAGGGGCCTAAGTAAAGGGCAGGTATTTAAGTGACCTCCTAGGAATCAGTGTTCTGCAGGTCCCAAGTTTGCCAGTTTGCATCTAACCACCAGCATTTCTGGTGTCAGGACCAGGGCCTGGGCAGCTCCATCCCCAAGGACAACAGGATCACGTTGAAAATACAAGTTCTGCCACATGAACTGGTGTGAAAACATCTTTCCTCTGTACATTCCTGGCTTCAACAGGGTCGAAACCCATGTCTGCTTCACGTATCACGAGTCGTGTGTGACACACCTGGTTTAACACTGATGGATCTGTGCCCACGTCAGCAGCTCATGCGGAAAGGTGGCTGCTGCAGCTGCGCAAAACTCGGAGGAACTGGACAGAAAGAAAACCTCTCACGTTTTGGGAAGCACAGGGTTGGGGGGTGTGTGTGTGTGCGTGTGTGTGTGTGTGTTATACACCAAACACAACTGAGGTCTGAAACAGGACCCTCCAGCTCAACAGTAAGAGCAGCAGACAACACCACCACAAGTTCTTTAAGCAAAGACTCCACTCCAAAAGACAACCATGTCTTCAGGTAAGGAAAACATGACAAAACCTGACCCAGTCCTGCCGATTCTCTTTTTCCTGTGAAAACCCTAATTCCCAGAAAAGCATTGTCAGCAAAGCCCCAACACCACAAACAGGATAAAAATGGAGTGCAATCACAAACAAGACAAGCTGTCTGAAGTGCAGTTCACCTTGTGATAATTAAGAATCACAGAATCACAGCCTGGTCTGGGTGGGAAGGGACCTCAAACCCTCTCAGTCCAACCCCCATGGGCAGGGACACCTCCCCCAGCCCAGGCTGCTCCCAGCCCCATCCAACCTGGCCTTGGACACTGCCAGGGAGGGGGCACCCACAGCTCCTCTGGGCACCCTGGGCCAGGGCCTCACCACCTCACAGGGAAGGATTTCTGCGCAATGTCCAGTCTGAACCTACCCTCCCCAAGGCCCATTCTGTGACCAGACCTCGGCGAGGCAGGACAGCCCGGTCTCACAGAGCTCTTCCACCAGCAGCTGCTTTTGGGATCCTGCAGAGCTACACGCATCCACCCGCTCACACCTCGCGCCTTCTGTGAAGCTCTGCAAACCCCAAGCGCTGCCCGGGTCAGGCATTAATTTGGGGAGCAGTTCAGTTGCACACAGAGCCACCTTCCCTTGTGCTGCCCTCAGCCCTTCCCAGACAAGCGAGCAGCTCTCTCCTGGGTTCAGAACCAGGCTTAGGAAATGCAGCAGCCCCTCACAGTGGCACTGGTTTGTAGGGTCGTGTCACACCAGGGCCGGGCTGCTCCACAGCCCCAGGGAGCCTGGCTGTGCCAGGGCAGGGCTGCTTGCTCACACTTTACCAACATGAAGGAATCGGTTTCAATCCTATACTAATTTCCC